AACACAAACCAAGAAAGAACATGTCAAAGAACCAAGAAAGAACACAAACCAAGAAAGAACATGTCAAAGAACCAACAAATAATTTAACGGACCAAAAAATAACACAAACCAAGAAAGAACATGTCAAAGAACCAAGAAAGAAGACAAACCAAGAAAGAACATGTCAAAGAACCAAGAAAGAACATGTCAAAGAACCAAGACAGAAGACAAACCAAGAAAGAACATGTCAAAGAACCAAGAAAGAACACAAACCAAGAAGGAACATGTCAAAGAAGGCAGCACTGTCAAAGAACACATCGAGGACCACGTCAAAGAACACTGAGATGGTTTAGTAGCCGCTACTTCAGCCAAGCAGTTCTAATGGTACTGGTTCTAGAAGAACGTTTGGTTTGCATGAACATTTACCATATGTTTAAATATGAATCAATGCAGCTACCCATCCAGGCTGTCACATTGTAAAGTTTGCAGATGATACAGCGGTGGTGGGATGCATCACAAACAATGATGAGTCCAGCTACAGGCAGGAGGTGGAACACCTGGAGAGCTGGTGCAAAGAGAATAACCTTCACATCAATGTGAAGAAGATGAAGGAGATGGTCGTGGACTTAAAAAGGAACAAACCCCCCCCCCCCCCCCCGAACATAAGAGGATCTGCAGTGGAAGTGGTCTCCAGCTACAAGTACTTGGGTGTACACATGAACAACAACCTCAGCTGGAGCAACAACACCACCAGCCTGATGAAGAAAGATCATCAGAGACTCTACTTCCTCAGACGGCTGAGACGAGCTGGTCTGGAAGCTCAGTCCTCACCTCCTTCTACAGGTGTGCAGTGGAGAGCATCCTGTGCTCCAGCATCAATGTGTGGCATGGAGGGAAACCGGCCCTTAGTTTGAAAAAGGTTTTAATTTTGGCCCCTTTGTAAGTGGGTTTCACACCCCTGCTCGAGACTGAGGAACAGCTTCTACCCTGAGGCTGTTTGACCCATGAATCTCTAACCAGGAGAATCACTGTGAATTTAAACAAAATCACTGGAATATCACTTTATTTTGTGATATGTGACTTATCTGTGCTGCTGATTCTCCATGCTGCTGATCTCTTGCCTTTAAGCTGCTCACTACAGACTCATGTTCAGGCCGCTGTTTAATGCACCGTATTGTTTGACATTACTAGTGTTTAGTGAATATCTTAGCTCCTTGTTTACTGGTCCTTTTAATACTTTATACTTGTTGCTATTGTTGGGAGTAACTGGGACCTTGAGAACACCACGTGATGTGAATGACAAAGA